TGTCTGAAAGGAAGTAACGCTAGAGTAGACTCGCGAAAAGTGTATAAGACACTTTTAAGATCAACTAAATAGCTAAGCCCAAGGGAAGTCGTTCGGGGAGGCCCTCCCTAATTCCACAAGGGTGAGAAGAAACACACACGATAACGAAACGTTGAATCATGTAGAATTCGTAGGGTAAATGCAAAGCAATTTATAGTAAGAATATGCAGTAAGCTAAGCGAAGAGGTAAGCAAGAGACATGTTAGACTATGCTACAACTACTGAACTTGTTAGTTCTATTACTATATTACTATTACATACAAAAAAAAATAAAAATATCTACAATCAACAATTACTTCAAATAAAATGAACAAAAATACGCATGCAAAATAAAAACTAATTCAAATTAACTATAAAAAACATGCAAAATAAAAAATTAATTTCAATAAAACCAACTTAATGAATTCTAGATAGAACATGCAAGATTTCAACTATGGGGTCATCTTTGTCTTCTCCAACGTCGATCTGAAACAGATACGGTGGTAACAGATTAATAATGAGCAATTAAAACTAATTATATCAAGTATTCTCACCTTAATTAATTGTAGAACCAAAGTTTATCGGTGTAAAAAGCAAACCAACTCCAGGAGGAACACCGTAGTAGAGAATTTGTTGTTTCAGTGGAATTCAAATAAATATCCAGTTGCTCTCCCTCATGGGTTGAAAATTAACTGCATGATGTTACAAGGCGAAGACGAAACAGCAAATCAAGAATTAATCCAGGAAAGACCACACCCTTGTAGACTTAGGCTGTTTCAGTATAACCAAACTGAACATTAATTCTCTCTCATTTATTGTATAACCTGCAGAAATGGACAAAAAACATATTAATTACAGTCATAATTAAGAAACACAAATAAAAACGCATCAAACAGCAAGTAAAATAGTTGATTAATAAAATAACAAACATTGCGCCATTTTACATCATAACCATAGAACGCGACATAGATAAGTATCAAATATCAGGACGTCAATTTACGATGCAAACAATAGAAAAAAGTTTAAATAGAAAATCCAGAGATGGATCAATGATAAATGTCAATTTATTCTGTGGGAAATAACTATCTGTCAAGAGATATGGATGCACAATAACCTCAATTTATACTGTTGACAATAGATAATTGTTAACAAAAATTCAATAACAGAATAATAAAGAGCAATTAATATTAATAAAGTCATGTATTCTCACCTTAATTAATTGGAGAAAGTGGCGTTCTAAAGTCCACCAGTGTGATGAGCAAACCAATCAAATCTAGGACGGATACCACTGCAAACAATTTGTTGTTCCAGACGCTTCCAAATCAATTAATTTCCAAATGCCTCCCGTTGTTAGGGAAAAAATTAATTGCATGATGTTACAAGGCGATAACGAAACGGCAAATCAAGAATATAATCCAGGAAAGACCACACCCTTGTAGATACAGGCCGTATAACCAAACTGCACATTAATTCTCTCATTTATTGTATAACCTGCAGAAATGGACAAAAAACATATTAATTACACTTACAATTACAAAACACAAATAAAAATGCATCAAAAAGCAAGTAAAACTAGTTGATTTATAAAATAACAAGCGTATCTTCCACCGCATTTTACATTGCAACCATAGATAAGTGTCAAATATCACGACGTCAATTTACGATGCATACAACAGAAAAAGGTTAAAAAGAAACTCCGTAGATCAATGATAAATGTCATTTTCCTCTGTGGAAAATAAAAACATTCAGAGATTTAATGGGCAATAACCTCAATTTATACTGTTTACAATAGATAATTGTTAACAGAAATTTCGTAACAGATAAATAAAGAGCAATTAATGTTAATGAAGTCATGTATTCTCACCTTAATTAATTGTAGAAAGTGGCGTTCTATAGTCTACCAGTGTGATGAGCAAACCAAATCTAGGAGGGATACCACTGCAAACAATTTGTTGTTCCAGTCGTTTCCAAATTAATTAATTTCCAACAGTCTCTTGTTGTAACGGCAAAAATTAACTGCATAATGTTGCAAGATGAAGACATCAAAAGTATCGGTTGCTTCAGTAGCATCAAAATTAACTGCAATCCCTCGTCATTTGTGGGACAATCTATATAGAAACAGGCAAGAAAAAGTAATTAATTACCACTTTTAAAGAAAGTAAATCAGTAATATTTTCATGTGGCGATGTAATGGTAAAGTTAGAAGTTAATTTTCACATTGATGGAAACGTTAGTTCCACAATAATTCTGTTTTTCCCATTCCTGAAAAGTTGTCTATTGAAGCAAGTTACAAATGTCCAAGAAATAAAATTCCTGGGGCCCTCATTTACTAATTTCAATTGATACTGTTACATACCAGTTTAGTCATAAATCCCTCCTTCAGCAACACACTTCTTCTTCAGCACATTGCCTCCGTTCCCAATGGAAAGGCACTTTCATGCTTTCTTTATGACCATAGGAATAGTCACTTTTTGGAGTCAATGAGAACCAACACAATCAATGCTCCACAATTTAATGGCATCTGGAGTTCTTCTAACATCCCTGTAAAATCAAATATTATAAAAAAGTATTCAAATATAATAAAAATAAAAAAAGACCCCCTACTAAGTAGATAAATAAATTGTTAAAGTAACACCGTACCCTTTTGTCTTCTAATATCAAACAAATACACTACGTATATATAATACAGCATGTATGCTCACCTTAATTAACTACAAGAGCATCCGGGATGAAAATTTAACAGCTTCGATCCCAACGGAAAAAAGGCACTTTCATGCTTTCTTTAGAATCATGGGCACAGCTACTTTCTGGGGCAAATGAGGACTAATACAACCAACGCTCTATACTTTCGTAATTTAATGGTATCCCGAGTTCTTCTAATGTTCCTGTAAAATGAAATCTTATGAAAAAGTGTTCAGATATAATTAATTAAGTATTAAGTAAATTAAGTGCACGATACATTGTTAAAGTAATGCTGAATCTTTTTCTTTGTTAATATCAAATAAATACACTACATATAGAAAGTATAGTATGCATGCTCACCTTAATTAACTACAAGAGCCTCCAAGATGAAAGGTTAACAGCTAAAACACCATAGGAGACGACTTATCTTTTCAGTAAGCAAAGATATCAGTTCCAATC